CTAAAATTTCTTCAGCCTGCCTCTGTATGATCCAAAGCTTAGAAAAGAAAGAAAGAAAGTAAAAGTTTGTCTCCACTCACACCAGATTTTATCCAGGCTCCATGACCTGAGAGAAGGATTAGGGAGTGTCTAGAGATTAATCCACTAAAAAGAGTTTGTACTCTGGCTTTGACAGGCCAGGCTTCTCCCTCCAATTTCCCTCTTCTGAAGAGCTGTTGTCTTAAATTAGTCATGCTCACAATGATGCCCACAGGAGAGTTCTTTTCCTGTTAAGCTGTGGTAAGTCAAACCCTACTTCAGAGAATACAAAGTCACCACTCTGGGGGACTAAGAAAAGACATGGGTTTTGTGTGTTTCTAGATGTTTGAAAAGAAAACCTCAAAGCACCAAACCAGAAGCAACCTTCTTATGTGTGTGTTCTACTTTGGGTTTAGCGTTTCATGAAGGAACAACGGCAGGTCTGATTTTCAACAGACATTTCAAAAGCTGGGATTTTAACATTCTTTATATTCTAGGTTAAACAAAAATAGCTCAAGATTTCTAAAGGAATTGTTAGCATCTCTTCCCTGGAACCCTTACTTGAAGCACAGTAACTTATAATGCTATCTTTCAAAAATTCCAAAAGCATCCTGGTACAGCTCAGAGAGGAACATGCTGTTAGGATCGTGCATGACTAGCTGATGGCAACAGGCCATCCCAGGACGCCCCAGCCCCATCCCCATTTCTTCCTTGCTCCAGTACTATTATCTGGAAGGGTCCATTGAGAAGAAAAAAATGGTCCATTGTGAGCATAATCCTTGGAACTGGCATATTTGATGGCTGAATCCAAAACAGGAAAAAAAAAAAAAGGAGGAGCATTTCTTCCTGATGACTGAAAATAGAGCCCAGAAGCCAAAGGGAGGGTAACAGCTCTCAGACTTTCTCCATGATCAGGGCCTGATCATCCAGAGCAAATAAATACATAGAAGAGTTTTAGGAAGAGCAGATGATGCGTATTCTAACCTGGAACTTTGGTTTTATATATTAACGTATCCAACAAATGCTATTGACTGTCTCGTACATGATAATTTTCAGCTCTAGAATTTCCTTTGCCCTTCTCTTAATTGACTTGAGGTAATGTCAGGGCCAAATTATATCTTTCTTGTTTTCCAGAGCTATGAATTAGGATGCATGTTCATTTTACCTGTGGCTTCAAACTCCCAATGGGTAACTACTCAGAGCTAGATGGAACACATACGTTCAGGAGGCTGCATTAACATGGATTCACTAGGGCTGGGGGCATAGCTCAGCTGCACAGCACCTGCCTGGCAACTGTGAGGTCCTGAGTTCCATTCCCAGTACCAAAAACAATCAAACAAACAAAAACAGATTCACTAGTTCTATAAAATACCACATACCAAGAGCTAAAAGGTCATTCAGTCAACAAATATTTACTGAATGCCTCACATGTTTCATGCCCTGTGTTAAGTGGTAAGGATTGAGGGGTAAATGAAAGATAAAAATTGTTGCTTTTGTACCTTTTATTCCAGGGAAAACAATTAATATTTGTGAGTGGTCAAAAAGTAGTATCAACATGTTATAAAATCTACTAAGGAAGAAATAGAAATGAAATAATGAGAAAAGAGGGGCTCTGCTTGGGATGATCTGAGGAGGTGACATTTGAACAGCAGCACCCCGGAGCAGAGCTTCCTGGTAAAGAAAATGCAGGCCATGTAAGAGGAAACACTGCTAAATGTTGGTCTCTGCCTGAGAAAGGAGGAATATAGCCAGAAGATAAAGGGGAAAGAAAAGCTTGGGGTGTTTTGCTTTGTCTGGGGTGTTGGTTCGTGAAAAGGAACTTGAACATGTGTAGGTGCAGTTGCAATGATTTCATCGATGGGGATAGTTTGAGGATTCCGAGAAGAAAATCTTATAAGTGGCAAAACAGGGAGGAGAAATTGTGAGTCCAGTGGATGAATGGATCATTTTCTGCTTCCACTCTAGTTAGACCAAAGCAGGATATTGTGTAGATGCAGAAGGAATTACGGAAGGAAAGCTACATGGTGGAAGGACAGGATGTGGCTGGTTTGCTATAGAAAAAATATGATGGAAGTGACACAGAAAGGGATAAAAATGCATACTAGGAAAACGAAGAAAAAGTGCTGTGCAACGTTGAACAATAATTTGAGATCTGTGATCATTATGTAAAGCAGTCGGGTTGTCGTTGCTGCTGCTGCTGTTGTTTGCTTTTTGCGGTACTGGGGATTGAATCCAGGGCCTTCAGTGTCAGCGACACCCTCAGCCCGTTATTGCTTTTTATCTTCTACAGGTTCTCTGTAAGTGGCTGATTTGCCCAAAGTAGGTTTGAATTCACGGTCTCTCTGCCTCAGTCTCCTAAAGTGCTGGATGACAAGCATGCACCACCATGCCCAGCTAGCAGTGATTTTTAATACCCAAGGTCTTAACACTGGGTTACGATGAACCATCCCATGTTTTTCTACTGTAAATTTGTACTTTAGCATAGTAGTTCCCAGCTGTGTACCTCTGTAGCTGCGTGTGGGGGATACAGAAAGCAATCTTTGTATTTACTCACTTGGTGTGACAAACAGCAAGGTGTGTGCACGTGTGCAAACGCGTCAAAGCGTGGTTTTTACCCACACTTATGCTCCATCTAACAGATTTTGTGTATTTTTGCCTAACCACCATGGGTGGCACAATACACCCACACATTCTTCTGCTATACAAACATGTATTTTACCATCATGGAATGTGGGGTTATTTTCATTTTTCTGGTAAAAGTAGCGCAGTTCAGCACAATGGCACATGAAAAATCAGATTTCCAAGTTTTGAAGGAGGTCAAAAGTGCATCAATCATCAAATCACTCATGCATGAAAGATGAAGATGAAGATTACAATGACTTTGACATTGGCCGTGTGAGCCAAAGTTCCTGTGACAGTGAAATGGAGCAAGAATTGACAAATACAGACACAGAAAATGCAGAACTCCTTGATTTAAGTGACAAAAATACCCAGCAACGTGAAGCATGTTTCACTAGTCAAAATGATACAAGATGCTCATGCAATAAAATAGAATGAACCAATGTTAGAACTAGGGCCAAAAATATAGTGAGGATCCTGGCAGGGGTGAAACCTCCAACCTGTTGGATGGAATGCCAGCACTGCCATTCAGTGTTGGAACTTGTTTGTAAAAGATGAAATGCTGCAGCATATTATGAAATACACACATGCTGAAATACAAATAAAATAGCCTGTATGCACTAACGGCCATACTAAAAACTGTATTTATTGTGACACTTCTCTAGCTCACCTGAAAGCATTTGTAGGTATCCTGTACTTAGCAGGGTTTTCATGGTCATCACAGGAATGAATGTAAGAGGCTTACGGAAAAGCATTTGCTGTGGGCTTGAAGTTTGCGGAATAATGTTGACACTGAGGACATTTGATTTCCTTCAAAATTACCTAAGGTTTGATGATAAAACCACCTGCCAAGGAACAAAAAGAATAATCTGGCTCTATCCACTCATCAGTGGGAGACCTGTGAGTAACTGTCAGGAAATTTGCACACCATCTGAATACATGACTATTGATGAACATCTTGTAACATTTCATGGCCCCTGTAGAATTAGGCAGTATAGTCGTAAAAAGCTTTTAGGATATAGCATTAAAATGTATGCCTTTGTAGGTCCAAAGACTTATTATGCTTTCAATTTAGAAATTTATCCTGGAACTCAGCCACCAGGTCCTTATTTATATAGTAATAAACCAAATAATGTTATGAAGAGACTTGTTGCTTCCATCTCCCAAACTAATCAGAATGTGACATTCAGTAAGTGGCTTACTGGTTTCCAATTGATGTCACATTTGCTAACAGAACACAAGCTGCCCAGTGCAAGAACTGTATGCAGAAACAAAGTAGAAATTGCTAATGAAATGTTGCAATTTCAAAACAGAGAATTGTATAGTACGATGTTTGGATTTCAGAAAGATGTTCTAATGGCAAAGAAAAACCATCTGGTACTGCTGATGTCAACATTGTACCATTGTACCAACATTGTATGATGTTTGGATTTCAGAAAGGTATTCTAATGGCAAAGAAAAACCATCTGGTACTGCTGATGTCAACATTGTACCATGGTGGCAATACTTATAGGAAAGCCTTGACAAAATGGAAGGCTGCGATGCAAACTTTCTAGAAGACCAAAGCTGGAGTACATGTTGTTGATGAGCTACGCAGCTACTATGATGTCACTTGAAACACAAAGCTTTGGCCAGTGGTTGTGTTTTACTTGATCCTAAACATGTGTGGCATAAATAGCTTGACAGTATACAAAGAAAATAGCAAGTACAAACTATCACAGAGAAATTTTCTTAGAGAATTGTACTGGAGCTCATAAGAGATCACTTACAGCAGAGGAAAAACTAAATGTTTCTGCACAGGAACTACATAAAAAGTTGAGGTGCACACTGGTGAGCTGATAGGTGAACAGGAGGCCAGCATGACAAAGACCTACTATGACAACAGAAAAAATCTTTTTGCTGTGAAAAAGGGGCACCTAGGGGAGGCAGAGAGTATTTTGAAGTTAAGTTTCTTTCCAAGGTACTAGTTTTAATGACAGATAATGAAATCTAAGCTGGAGAGAAAGAGGAACAAAGATGAGGAAAGGGTTAATGTTAATATAAGGAAACATTTATTAGTGATTCTTAATACTTTAAAGACATTTCAGGAAAGAAAATGCAATAATTGAGCTGAAGTAATAGGAGATAATGTTGTCCAAATAAAATATCTAAAATTAAACTCTAAACCGGGTGTGGTGGCACATGCCTATAATCCCAGCACCTAGGAGGCAGAGGCAGGAGGATCACTGTGAGTTTGAGGCCAACCTTGGCTACAAAGTGAGCTCAAGGCTAGCCTGAACTGCATAGCGAGACCCTGTCTCAAAAAGACAAAAAAATTGAATAATTGAAAAAATAAAATCAAACTCTAAAGGAGGTATCGCAATTTCTAATGATAATTAGATCTAGGGAGAGCCACGACTGTGAGTAGTTGAAAAAAAACAGGAAAAGGTTTCTTGAGTGACAAGCATGGGAATCCAAGAAGCCAAGTGTCTGGATGGATTCCACAGGCCAGAGACTACTGCAGGATGAAGCGCTTCTCAAGGAGGGGCTTACTAGTAATGACAGGTACCATTTTACTAAGTATACATCAGTTCTTTTCTCCTGAAGAAATATTCCAGTGGTCTGCCCAGAGACTGCAAAGTTAGTAAGTGGAAGAACAAAAACTCAAATCCAGGTTTTTTAGTGCAAAGACTGTGCCTTTTCCACCATGCTATGGCTCTGCCCCCAGGAAGACAAGCTGTCATTCAAATACCTGGAAAGTTGGTTGAGGTTAGCACGGTAATACTCTTCATAATGGAAACTCTGAGTAATGGAAGATATAGTGGAAAGAGAATAGAGACAGAGACAAGGAAAGCCTGGCAAAGATGGAAGGATTTGCTACATAATTCTTACCTCAATATATTTTTCTTAAAGTAGTCTGGGGTAATTAGGAATGAAGAAATCAGAGATAAAAGAAGTAACACAAACAAAAAAGCCCAAGACTCAGTGATTTCTAAAATTTATATTCACAATCCCTTTCTGTATTCTAGTTTTTAAATTTTTTTAAAAAATTCCAGCAAAGGTTAGAATTCTGTTTTCTAAAACATGGATATTATTACACTTCTTCTGTTCATTAAAAACACACACAATGTATATAAATATTGGTCATATTAAAGGAAAACAACAAGTAGCTGAACATCAGCAAGTGAGAATCTAATATTTTTGAGGACTATTGGAGTTAGTTGCCAAAGAAGTATTCAGAATCTATCACTGAATGCAACACATATTTTCCAAACACATATGTCCTACACAATTCCCACATTTTCTCTACTTATGTGACTCTTTAAAATCTCTCTCTCTCTCTTGCTATTTCTGTCCTACACACACACACACACACACACACACACACACACACATGCACACACGCACGCACGCCTACACCCTTCCAATTATGCTGGAAATACACATGGTGTGCAGGAAATGGACTGGATCCACCCAAGGATCCTCCTGTTTCTCTGTTAGCATCATGTGGTGGCTCAGGACGTGCATGCTAAAGTGAAAATGGTACCCATAGGGAGTGGATCTCCTTCAGTCCCTTTAGCTTATGCAAGGCAAATCTCTTTCCATCCCTCACACATTCATGTCACAGTCACATATCTGAAAGATGAACTCCCTTGAGGTAGCAAATATACCCTCCCTGGGAGGTGAGTTAAAAGGTGTCCTTTCCCATGCGCCAAAATGTTCTTGGCCAAGGGACTCTAGAACACCTGACAGCTGCTTCTCTACGCCTCCACATCCTCACGAGGCAGCCCAGAGGTTGATGTGCTTCAGCCTTATTCCTCCTCTTGTCTGTCTCATGGACCTTAGGTGAGGTGAGGAATTACAGACCTGTTGGACCTTGTTTGCACTGGTCTTCGTGGTTTGTGTGTTCTCATTTAACCTCCAGCAGGCTTGAGACCTTCATTCGAGACAGTATTCCCAGTGCCTCTCACAAGGAACCATAATGGAGAAATCCTAAATTCCCTTTCCTAGAGCTTATATAAGCCAAAAAATGTCTTTGATTCCTCAAAATTGACCAGAGAGAGCTCTGACACATTCACATATAAATGGTCAGCAACAGTGAGATTGAACACTGCTCCCAAGTAACTGCTATGGGCCCACATCTGGCCCGTAGTGCAGTAGCTCATCATCTTCCCCTCCATCAGCACCAGATCCTGGTGATACCTAGAGTTCCTCATGTAGACCTTGTGGCTCAGGGGCTGGTTGTTGCAAGACTGGCCCCGGAAGTATACTTTGGAATACACAAAGTATAGCCCAGTGTCATTGATCACAAGGCTACCCTTCTTATACTTCACTCCAGAGATCAGGGCAATTCCATAGGTGTCTTCCCATTCCAGAGGGATGGACCTTGAGTAGAGCTTGCCTGAAATAAATCAGAGAGGTTCTTTCAGACAGGGAATGCTTATGTATCCAACAAGTTAAGCCTGCAATGTAAAACTATGGGCCCCTCATTTAAGAAATGTTTTACCCAGCACAAAAGCCTGTGAAGAACTGGCTGAAAAGGCAGGACTTGCTCCATCACTGAATTCTTCAATGCCTTTGTCAAATTCCCTGCCTCAATCTTACTCATATACACAACTGGGACAATAATATATACTCCCAATTAACTGCCGTGGAAAATATTGAGATAATTTTAGTTTTCTGGGATAAAGATTTCATGATTTTTCAGAATAAGCACTAAAAATTGCTAAGCTTCAAGGTCTCTCTATGAAGTGAAAAGCCAAATCTAAGGAATTCTAATGTTTAAAAAGACCTTAGGGATCATCGTGTCTATCTTTTCACTTACAGTAAGGATCCCTCAGCCCTCAGTTGGGGCTAAAGTCCCCACAGCACTGTGTATAGTCTAATCAAGAAAGTCTCTCCTGTACTGACACTATTACTATGTGCCTATCTTGCCTTAGATAGATTGGTTAGATTTTGAGCTCCCTGGAGGTGAGAAGTAGCTCTACACTCCCCGAATCTTGGCACACAGTAAGTGTTAGCTTATCCAACTGAATCCTTCCACAGTCTCTGCCTTAGTAAATCCTGGAGCACTAGCACATCGCTTTTTGTGATATTTACCTGGTTTTCATAGAACTATGGTTTACAGTGAGGCTTCCCACACTGTACTACTGCCAGACCATTTCTCTTCACCTTATGATCACATGAGGAAAGCGCATCCATGGCAGGACTGACTGTCTCCTCTACCCCGTACTCCTGTTCCTACTTTTGACCAAAGCAGAAGGACGCTCTTCCAGAAATCAGACATGCACTGACTGAAATAATTTATCCTGAACCTTCTCAGGTCTCTTCTTGGACCTGTGTCACAAATCCCCAAAGGGCCTTTAGGACGAGTGGGAAGAGGTAACTCCGTAAGGGTCAGGATCATGCCGTACGGCTCTATAGCTTCTGTTTAGGATTTGCTCAGAGTAAGACAAGAGACTGACCTGAACACAAAGATGGGAGTACCCTGGGGTTCCAAATACTGTCCCCCATTCCAAGAAAAAACCTCCTTCAAAGTCCAGGGACAGAAACTATGCATCATTTTGCATTTGCCAGAGGCTTCCCGAGTCCCAACCTGTACCTTCCACACACAGACCTGTCAGATGGGCCACTGTCTTCGGCTCCTTCTTTGCAGAGGGTGGACTGGGTTGGGCTGTGTGATAGGCAGATAAAAGACACAGGTTAAAATGAGATGCCCACTGTTATTTTGGTGGGACTCTAAATCCTGCAATTTAAATAAAAGATTTTAGAAGCATAAATAGTAACATTCTAGTACACCTTCATCATCCAAAACCAGACGGTTGGACATAGCAATCTGCATTTCAGGAACAGAGGGGTTAAAAGATAAGCCAAGTTAAGGTAGATGTATGTATAAATGATACAGTCACAACAAAATATGATTAGTATAAACCATGAGGTATAAGGAGGCAGTGCATCCATTGCTTTCTTTAGAACTTGCCATGACCTTCTGGAGATAGGGATCATTGTCCCACCTGGTAGTTGGCAAAATGAGCTTAGAAGCTGGGTGACTACGGCCAGTGCCAGAGACAGGACAGCACTGCACACTCCTGGATCAAATCCAGGGCGCTGTCTTCACCTCGCTCGCTGATTCTGACCCCTTTTCTGTAGTAACTGTAAACATTGTCTTTCTCCTCCCATAAGTAAATGGCAGTTTCTTTACTATATTTTGAACTCATGAGGGTATGTAGCCCAGTGTGTACCATAGGGCATGCCATCAGGAAGTGCTTGCCAAATTAAACTGACCTTATTTCTCAAATTAGATACCACTTCTCTCACTTCAAATATTTCAGCCAAGGTTTAAAAACAAAAAGCTACCACTTAGGTAATTAAAGAAGACATACAAAAAAGAATCACAACAAAGTAGATGTTCATCTCAGGCTTGTGATTGGCCTGTAAAATCCACACTGAGTATAAAAATGGTCCAGGGGCTGGGGATTTAGCTCAGCGGCAAAAGCGCCTGCCTGGCTAGCGCAAGGCCATGAGTTCGGTTCCCGGTACCGGAGAAAAAACAAAAAAAAAAAAACAAAAAAAACACTGTGAAATGATAGGAAACCACCAAAGAGTAAAGGGCTTCTGGGATGTGGGAAAAGAGAAGGGAAAGAAGGAGAAATTTTGTATGTATGTATATACAGGATAGATAACATGGTTGTTCTTCTATCTGCTGTTTCTATGCTGAAAGAAACTGTCAGTGAGTCTTTGGTTGACCAGTATTGCATGTCTATATCTGTTTTCATGAGAAGCCACTTTGAAGATATCAATATGTAATACAACCACCATTGTTAATTCCCTACCACTTTGTTTGGAACTCTGTATTGTCTGTATTGTGCTTGTGATGTGTTGTAAAATGTTGTATGTCTGTTAATGTTTCCCTCCTTTTATCCTTAAAAAAAAAAAAAAAAAAAAAATTGTCCAGCCTCCTGAGAATATGACCTGAACAGTCATGACCTTTATAGTCACTTGAGACAACCCACTTCGAAGGAAGTGTGAGTGAACAGGAAAGGCAAAACTGAGTCTCCTCTGGATTCCTGCACCACAAGCCATCTGAGCAGCTGATCTGGCATTCAGCCAGCTACTAACAGGAAGTAGAACACAGAACCCCTGCTGTATATCTTTATACCCCTCACAGAACCTGGCATAATGTTATGCTCATAAAAGATACTCAATAGAAAAATCTGCTGGAAATATATCCTAGACATAGTGATGACTTTTTCCTGCCTCAGGGCCTTTGCACACTCCAGTCCCAGGGTGGAAAGATCTCTCCCCTACCTGCACTTCAGAGCACATACACACAACTCTTCATTTGGCAGATTTCTGGCCCTTCCATGGGTGGCACAGACAACCTTAGAGGAGACTATTCCTTACCACTGCACCTTGGGTCACCTTTAGTACAATTAGAAATCATCTTACTTGTTTGCTTGCTTTTATCTTCTCCACTAAGCTAAAAGTTCCATAAGGGCAGACTTCCTTGTTACCCTCACTCTTAGCTACCACCCAACACCCAGCCTGACATACAGAAGGCGCTCAAAGAACATTTGTGGATGAGTAAGGTATTTAGTTAGCAAGGTGTGGAAAACTAAAACATGAAAAGAGTAAGTGATAAAATGTAAGTAATCTGACAGTAACTCCCCGAGAAAAATCACTGTTAACATGTTGGAGTGTACATACACACAATCTTTTAGTTCTTTCTAAGAATACAAACATATACTTAGATAGTCACACAGCCAGTGTCACACTAGACATATCCTTTGCAAACGTGTCTTTTATCTTACGTTTCAGAGTGCACTTCCAACCAGTATTAAATCTCCTCCTATGTGGTTTTTACTTGCTGGACATTTTGCTGTCATCCGAATATCCCATAATACATTTAATAATTCTATTTGGAGGCATGTAGGTTTCTACTGAATTATGGATTATAACTAGTCTTGTGAGGAAATGATGAATGTCCATATATAAATCCTTGGGCATATCTCAAATCAGTTTTCTTAACATAAACTTTTAGTGGTGGGATTACAAGGTAAATGAAGTTTCCAGCTTTTTGATATGTATTTCCAAGCTCTTCTGTAGAAAAGTTACAACTATTTACATGGATACTGGCTAAAACTATTCAAACAGGTTATTTTCTCTCACCTCTTTGGCCAATCTTGTTTTTAATCTTTGCTAATTTGATTGGTGAAATAGGCATCGCCCTTTTAAAAATTTATATCTCTTATTAGAAAAGTTGCTAATTTGATTTCCATGTGATAATTCACCAATTTCTAATCCAACTGGGTTGATATAAAGAAGATAATTGTTTATTGGGGCAGGTAAAGGCTGACTCCTCTGTTCATTTGCCTTTTAATCACTGAGATGACTCCACAGAGTGGGTGAAAGATGAATAATTAGGAACCCATCTCACCAGCCACATTCCACTGTTTTCAAGGTGATTTTACTTTAGAAATCCTCCCGAGGTTTTCTTTCTCTAACAAATATTTCCACCCTGCTCTATTCATCTGGGCTTTCCAACCCTTAGGAATTTGGACAGAACTGGAGACCAGAATATTCCAATGATGGTTCCTAAGAGAGCTGACTTAACAGACGGCCAGTGCTGCCTGTGGCCTTCTGTTTCTTGCCAAATTTCTAAGGATAAAATTTGCCCACTTCTTTCCAGAGGAGTCCTGCTTTGCCTCTGCTTCTCATTCCATGACCATTATAGAGAGATAGAAGATTCCACCTTCTAAGGCACCAACACACACACACACACCAGAAAGCTCTGTAGGTGACAAGTCACCAGGAGACCCCTTCTCTTCTAGCCTGTACCACACCAGTCATCTTGGGCATGTCATCTAATTTGTCTGGTATTTTGTTTCTCTTCTGAAAAAAAAAAAAAAAAGAGATGGCTGGACCACATATACTGTAAGCTACCTTCTGAGTTTAAGACAAATGAGGCATATCCTAAAATCCTTCTGTCCCCAGCTTCCACAACTATGCCCTCTAATGTCATGATGTCAGTGTTCAATGTCTTCTTGTCCTGAATCTCATACAAAGGATTTTTTCTTTATCATCAAAGGTAACTCCCGAGTCCTCCATGGGTAAAGCTATCTAATCCCTCTAATAATGACTAAAATCTTCCCCCATACTTCCCAGAAACTTCAAAAGAACTCTATGAATGTGGGTAACCCACTGCTCACTTTTTAAAAGCTTAGTTAGACACTATGAAATGTTTTAAAATAAAGCTTAACTCCTTTTAGAGAATTTAGAGAATTGAAAATAAAGCTTAATTTAAAAGAGGAGAGGAAATTGTCTACATACATCTGTTTCTTCTTGCACCTTTTCTTATCTCCTAGGAGTTACAGCCCGGGCCATGTATGCTGAGACCAGGGTGTCCAACAAGGGGCCAGGCCTGGAGCCTGCTGCGCAGAGTCAGGGGCAAAGGTCGAAGGCTGCATGAGTGTCACTTTCCAAGGGCAAGTGAAAACTAATTTGAATTATGTGTGGTGCTCAGCCACACTGGTTTTAAGCACTTAAATTCCCTTCATATTTTTAAGTAGTTCAAGGAACCATATTGACCATATATTCGGAATTAGCCAGGACTCCTCTGACAGTATTCGTAAGCCTAACAGTGAGACAGAACTCAAGACATTCCACCAACTTTGTTCAGTGCAGAGGATTACCTCTGGGGAACTCAATGTGCACGAATATAAGGACTCACCTATTTGCTTCTCCAAAGATGATTCTGTATGACTTTGGTTGGTGGACTAGCAAAAGAGAAACAGAAACATTATGTAATAAATTTAGTTACTTAAGCAAAGGAGGTAAATTGTCAAATCAAGCAAGCCCTGGAGAGAATGTGAATATCTCAAATCCTTGCCTAACTTTGACTTTGTCCAAGCAATTGTGTCTCACACTCCCTCAGTTTTGAGATGTGGAACAGTGCCGGTATTTTCAAGTCTTTTCAAGGAGATTTACTTAGGCCAGTAGAGCAAGTTCACTTCCAAGCAAGACTCAAAATTCTTTCTATTCTTGGAATCATTCAGTGTGAGGCAGTATCTCAACAGAGTGACTTGACAACTGAGAAGAAGAACTCTTTGCCTCTGATTTTTTACAAGTCAGAAAATATTCCCTTTACCCATATGACCCTCTATTTTTAAGACAGGAGAAAAATGTCTTGAAGCCGTAGTCCCTGTGGCCTACAATAGCCTTCTCACCCTATTGCAGCCCAGATGGCAGACTTACCTCACGGAGCTCAGCCAGCTCCTTCTGTAGGTGGAAGAGTTGATACATTCCCAGCCCCAGTCCGACCAGGGCCACGAGCACCATGGAAAACATCACAAAGAGACATAAGCCCGTGTTGCAGTCCTTCTTCTTCACAGGCGGCAGTGGCAGTGGGGGCAGCGGTGGCAGTGGCGGTAGTGGTGGTGGTGGCGGTGGTGGTGGTGGTGGTGGCCTCCTTTGACCGGGTCTAGAGGACAGACAGGGGAAAACTGACTCTGGAGGAGCCCAGGTAGAGCTGGTACTGTTGTCCACCCAGTAGATTTGGGGGTACGGATAATTCGGGTGCTGCTGCATGGCATCCAGTGACTTGGGTTTCACTTCTCTCAGTCCTGTGGAGACTGAAGCATCAGACACAGGGCTGCTGGTGCTGACTGCTGAAAAGTTGCCTCTGTCTTTATAGAGTTTCCATAGCCAAGGGAAACACCTCTCTCTTGTCTTCTCTTTCTGTGTCTCAGAGAGACACCCACTCACTTAGTATCTAAAACACAGAAACCTCAGAAGCTCAGAGCAAACCCCGGGAAGTTTCTGCCCACAAATTTCTGATGAAAGCCCTCTGAGCACCAATGGCTGTTGCTGTGCTATCTGAAAAGACTGGCAGGCTCCACTCGCCTTCCTCTGGTCTGCAGAGCAGCTCAGCACTGGCTAGAGCTGTGTGGGCATTAACTACTGCACCTCTACCAGTGGCACATTCAGACAATGAAGACTGAGACCAGGGACAGACCAGAGAAGTTACTGCCACCCTCCTACCCTTTGCTCGAGGAAATTATCTCCCTGGAGCTGAACTTCCTCATACTTCGATTACTTCCTCATACTTTGGTTAATATTTCAGATCACTGTAATTTCATTTACAGGCTAAAAACTTATCCTACCCACTCCAGAGATTGGGTCAGAGGTTGCAAACCAGGGGCCCCTATACCTTGTGGAGCCCACAGAACTTTTTTTGTACTGCACATGGTTTTTCTTTCATTGATTAAAAAATTGAGGTAGTACCCATTGATAATATGTATTACTGTTGTTTTGAAACATTAGACAACTGGACACCGTCAAAGCCATGTCAGAAATCCCAGGAATAAGACCAAGGTGCTCCAGGCCACCCAGCCTCCCCACATCACTCATGCCCCCATATCAGCTTCCCTGGAAAAGGCCCTCTTTGATTCTGCAGGCTGCTGTTATGGTATCAGATGAAATTCATGGGGTCCGCATAAGCTGGATTTTGGATAAAGAAATACTTTATGGGACAAGTTGGTCCTACACACTGCATGGAATATACTAAAAAATATTCATTGTTTATTACAAATTCAAATTTAATTGTGCATCCTGTTTGTTTTGTACTGAAGCTCACTGCTCTGCCTAACTTCACCTATTCTTCTGGCCTCGTACGCTCTTTATGCCAATAACTTCCAACTACTCAGCTTCAGTCCCCACCATTCTCCCATATTAGCCATGTATACCTTTCCATAAATTCCTGCTCACTGGAATTTGTTGGAGAACTCTACTTTTCAGACTGTATTGAGATTTCTGTGACTACCACTCTGGCTCTCTCACCTGTACCAAATAAACCCCAAACATTATTTCCTAGCTACATCTGCCAACCCCGTGCTGCTCTCAATGCCACCTGTTTATCCTGAGGTCCCTCTTTTTGGTGACAGCTACAACTCCTTTCTTTTCCTCTGTCCCAGCATTTGCTTGTTATCCAGGTCTCTTGACCTCCCTGTGGTGTGTTTCTTACCCTTCCCCGTGCATCCGCCCCACTCTCATTTCTTTTTCTACTCTTTCCTCTATTTCAGGGAAATACTTCCCTGCTTTTCTGTCTCAAACTCCTACAGAAATTTCTGTCATTCTTCAGTAAGAGCTATGCTATATTTTCCTGTCTCCTTCTGTTACCAGATAGCATCTTTTGACCTGGAGAGGATAAAAACAAGACCAAGCCAAACAGTGGTGAATATTCAGGGTCAACTTTATTGTGACTTCATCTCAAGCTGAGCCACTTCCACTTGAGCTGCAGGAAGTCAGCACTGGTCAGGAAGGGGACAAAGTTGCTCTCTGAAAAGGGGAGAAACAAGTTTTTGTTGTTTTTTATCAGTCCATGTTTGTTCTACCTGAAGTTTGCATTCATCTTAGGGAGTAGGAATATGTACAAAACACATCTGGACTCTGTCTCATATTCCTTCCCTTATCTACCCACCTCTCTCTCCATCTCTAAATCCCCTGTCCCCATTTTTGTTATTATTATTATTATTATTATTATCTTTAGTTCATGTTTATGACAATTGATGTCTATATTCATTATGCATATTTGTAGATAAGGAAAGGTCTAATATGGGAATGAATGTCCAGGCAAGCAAAGACCATGAAAACCTACTTTTAAGAAATTCTGAAGTGCAGTGCTCAACTACAAGCAATAGTAATTCCAGGTACTAGCAATACTAATGTTGGTGATTCTGAGGCTACTCAACAGCTGCAAGAAGACACCGCGGTGCCTCTGCTGTCTTCCGCAGTCCTCTCAGAAACTGCCGTGAAGAACACCTTCCCTTCTCCCACCCACTAAGTCTCATGCAGTTTCCTCGTGTTGGTGGAAGCCAATCAGAAGCCCATGTCTGACACTAATCATTGTAATTTCTAGGCTTCATGTGGGAACTAGGGGATGAGGAAAGAGTGGAGGAACAGAGATGGCGCTGGTATTAACTACTTCCATGTTGTACAATGTGTCTGTTCATCAGCACCAGATAAAAACTCACAAATGTATGCCGACTGGTGAATAAATCCATGGGGGCTGCAGGTCAAGAACAGGACATCTTGGAGCTTCAGCCTCACTCAGTAGTGCTATGTGGCCCATCTTCTGTTGGCCTCTGCAGCTGCTGTTGGCCTGCTGGGGGCTTTGTCACGGAAGAAGGATGACCACATTGCATTTTCCCCACCTTCACCAAGGTGAGCCATGATACCCCTTCAGTTGCCACTGATGCAAGTATGACTCTTCTCGTGTCAATATTCCATTTAAAATAATGTGTCAGTGGCTTCCCATTGACTTCTGGGTAAAATTTTAGCTCTACGAGGATTTCTAATGCCCTGCAGTATCTGGTGTCTTCCTAATTCTCCACCTTATTTCACTTTACCTTCTTCCTCTTTCATCACATTATGTCCATAATGGCTTTCAGTTCATCCAGTGTGGAAGATTCTCTCTTACCTCAGGACCTTTGCTTGAGATGCTCCTTGCAATGGCTTTTGCCCCAATTCTGCCCCGGTTTTATATAACCAACTTTCTGAATTGTTCAGTCCTCCACTAACTACCACTTCTTCAAACTCCATCTAAATGGATGATCCTTGTTAGTATTTTCTCTCATTATATGCTGATTTTATTTTTCTTTTTCTCTATAGGTGCTTATCACAGTTTTTCTTTTTATACACACACAGTTTTATAATGTCTACCTTCTCCAATCCAATAAACTCCACAAGTACAGAGAACATATATCCTACCTAGCACAGTGTCTGTCAAGTAATTATGCACTCAATAAATAACTGTTGCATGAACTCTCAACACATTTTCCAAGTGGTGGCTTTGCAACACCTTCATGTCACAACTAATTCACTTTCTCAGTTTATCAAGTTTTGAATCGCAAGCCCTGAGATAAATTAGCAGATATTTAAGAGGAACTACACAGGCTCACTCCAAAGACACTCATTCTCATTAATAAATCAAATGGATCCCAGGACAATCTTTGGTGTTTTCTACCTCCAGATGACCTTGCCACCCAAAGCACATACCACAAAGCCACAGCGTGCCCCTGTGCTCCCTCCTGACTCAAAGGTTTAAACATCACTCAGTACATTTACTATTTCTCCTAGGAGGGTCGTCAAGTTCTTTTGCATCAAGAGCGTTGGTGACCAGCCCCAATATCATACAGTCCGCATGGAGGCTCTGAGGATTGGTCCTTTTGCATGCTCAGTCTTCATATGAAAGCACAACACATTGTGCGCAACCAGGGACAGTGTGGGAGGTCATGTAATTGGTTACTAAATCCTATCAGCAACTAAGCTATGGGAATGTCTCACAAAGCAATGCCTAAACATGAGTGCTAAACTCAGGATTCTGCCTGGTATTAGAGGTATCCAATAACAATTTGTTGATCAGATGACCATAGAAGAGAAAACAGACACTCAAGTAAATTAACTGACTTGTCTGACTTGTCAAATGCAGGTCTATTGTCATTTGAACCAAAATGCTCACTCAAAGAGGACACAGAACAAGAATCCTCAAGGCCAGTTCATAAGCAGTGCTTCCAGTGCATAGGGCTGAACGGTCCACTGAGAACAGAGAGGACATAGAGTAGGGCGTGAGGTTCACCTCAAACAACATCTATTAAGACTGGAAATGCCTGGGTCTTGTGGGCTTTTTTATGAGGCCCCTTTTGATGTTTGAAATGCTTCATTGCAAAAACACATGTCATGGTAGCTTTGTGGGAAAGAAGACACACCAAAGACTGACTTAAATGTCAAAGTTGTTTTTGCCACCCAGTCTTTTCTTTGAGTGCCTAGCAGATGTTGATTGGGGGCATGCAGCTGGATGCCTCGACAGCCTTCCATCCTTGGGGTCTCACAAGAAGTCACTTTTAAGCATACACTTTCTGAATTGAGGAGTGATTTGCCATCTGTCACAGACCTTAGAAACAACAGGAAAGGCATAGCCTCAACCCACTGAATGAAAAGAGCCATAGCTCTTGTACCAATTTGAGAGTTTACAAATAAGATCTTTCCCCAGAGCCTTATTTGCAAATCCAGGCAGTGTTGCTGTCTGTTCTGCTTACCCTGCCATGACATAGACTGAGACCTTAACAAAAATTTACCTTCTTACGGTTCTGGAGTCTGGAATACCAAGTAAGATCAGGGTGTCAACATAGTCTGGTAGATCTTTTTCTTGCTCTTGGTCATCTTATGAGGCCACCAGCCTTTCAGATTCCCCATGACCTTATTTAACATTTATCTTCCCTAAAAACCCTTTCTTCAAATACAGTCACACAGAATAGTAGGGCTTCAACACATGAATTTAGTGGAGGGACAAAATTCAATCTATGACCACTGTTTCTCCAACCTGAAACCTACATAGTTGTAGAATCTTGATACCAGAGTCAGGGTGTGCATGGAAATCACAACCGGGAGAGCATCTTGTTCTGTTCTTTATTTCAGAGATGCAGATCCTAAGCCTCAAGAGAGATGAGAATTTTCTTCCAAGATCACCCAGCCAGTACGTGGAAGAATTAGGAAAAATATCTGGCCTGTGTCCTAGGGCTTCCCCACCACACCCGAAGTGTCTAAACCTAAGTGAGAACCGATAAATATTGTCTCTGTTCAAGTCCGTCCATACACAGATTTTTGGCTCCTACTATGCACAAGGCACTGTGGAGGACACGGACACAGCAGGAGCACAGCACAGTTCTTAGGGAGCTCACAGTGGGTCATTTTCCTGAGGTCTGCTTCACATTCCCTCCTATTCACTTGGACTTATCTGTCCTTCAGAATCAAAACACTAACTCAGTATTCTTTTGGAAATACTGTGGAGAGGAACAGGGGAGAGAAAGATGCATTCACGTAGTACCTACTCTATGCCAGGCACTGTGAAGAAATATTATATGCGGTACCTCATTTGACTGTCAAACAGTCTTC